AATGGGTTAGGGGAGCTTGATTTGGAGTCAGGGGCTGGTCGTGGTAGGTGGCGCCACGGTTCTTTCGCTACATGCGCGGAAAGGCGGAGATTTGGTGATGGGTTCAGGATCAATTGGATGCGACTGCTCTCGATCGATAGCTGTCATCTACTGGACATCAAGCGATAGCATGTTCTGTGAAACTTGTTGGGAGTGGCCAGCATGGATGTAATCGTCATTAACTGCTTGCATGTACCGCGCCGCGAACGCAACGTCGCCACTATAATTGGTCGACTACAGTTGACTACCTTCGGATCACTCCTACATAACTCCCACTTCTACTATTCAAGTTAAGAGGATACTCATGTGACCATCACACTGAGTATCCTATCATACATGAGTTCGTACATTACTGAAGTCGTAGCGGCAGAAGTCCGCCCAAGCGGCCAAAGGGACTGATCGATCGACAAGCTCGATATGACCTTCAACGAGCGCAACCGCGTCCGCCAACTTATAGGATGGCTGAAGATAGGTTGAGATCATGTGAATACCGCGGCAACTAGGACAGGTATATGTTGGACCGGCTTCCTCTTCGTTTCTGTAAGGGCGGTGATATCCGTCCCAGTTGCGGAAGCGTTGCACAAATTTGTCACGCAGTGCGCCGAACCAGCTCGTAAGGCATTGGGAACAGAAGGAATGGCCGCAAGCAAGCCTGGAATAGAGTTTGAGCATAGAACTAAGACTGACGACGACACGCTCACGTATGAATGTCCTTAGTGACACAGTAACAGAGTTTACACTCGAGCACTCCCGCAAGGCCGTCGACGAAGGATTGCACATCCTGCGACTCGGGCGTCAGAGGGAGGTAGACGCGCATGAGGATTAACACACCCGCGTCAGTGCGACATGAGTCAGTGCACGGTCTAGATCATCTTGCAAGACCTCACAGCGGTGGCTTAGATCACAGGTGCTCCGTTCGAGCTCCTTGACCCGCCGGGTTAAAACGGAACGAGACTGCATATACTATCAGCTAGAAGCCCATGGGGAGCATGCATTTGTACGACCTTCTCCATACCAGAGAGCTTGCACTTCATGAGCTTTATCAGAGCACTGTCGTTCACGGAGTGGTCGTGCGTCAAAGCAGCCTATAAGTCCAGGATGTTAGCGGTGGCGCAACAGCTAATGCAGCATGTCTACCATCGGTTCGTCCTAGTGACTATGTCAGTACACCCAGATGCTCCCGAATGATAGTTCTTACCATATTGTGCGGCGGTTGGGGTGAAGGAAGGGGTTCGCGCCCTTCTAAGACGGCGATACGC